TCCTAAATGGTTTCAAATAAATTTGGGAACACCGGAAACCCCAAAAAGCCCAAAACCCCAAAAACTGAAAAAAAAAAAAAAAAAAAAAAAGTAGACTAAGATATCTTTTTGCCAGTAATATAACCTTGCTAACCATACATTATAAATACCACTACATTTTTCTACATAGCTGCAAAACACCCTGACTGCAGTGATCTAGAATGTTTATGCTTTATTTCTGATTAACCTGTATTGTTCATGTTGGTGTCTAGAATTGGTTAAATTCATTCTGTTCTAGAAAATTAAATGCAATTAGTTTTATTAATTTGTTTCCCTATGTCAGTCTTGGTTCAACATAATGTAACAATGCTGGACTGACTGTAGGACTCTAAAAGGACAGCTGCAACTAAAATCAGAAAGCATTAAAAATCAACTTTTTGATTTTTTTTCTTTCCCAGGTCTGGGTTTACCAAAAGGTCACATGGGAGCACCCATTCTTCCCATGGCAACCTGTCGCAGGGCTCCATCACTTCCTGTGACGTTTTGAGCGGAGACGACGTAGACCACTCTCTTCACCGGCCTTCAAAGATCAGTGAGCGGAGATCCAACAGCAGCACAGACATCCCAGGTATATGCATGTCAGCACATGTGAGTTTCAGGACGCTGATTTTCTTTTTTTTTTTTTTTCTTTATGAAATAGTTTTTGCTTCAGGAGGTTAAACATCTCATGACAATCTATTGGTTCAGTTTGCTTCTGTCTTTATCAGCCCCAGAGGGGACTTACCCCGACTGCTGATTCATGGGAATGTTTTTTTTTTTTTTTTTAAGTCTAAAGCAGTTGAGGTTGTGTGATGCTTACTCACTCATAAGTCTAAAATGTGAGTGTGACTGAAAAACCACCAAAACAAATGCTGTTTTGTTGAACCTTGCTGCTTTTCTTTTCTGCGTTTCTGAAGCGCTGAGGAGCCAGGCGCCGCTAAGAGCCTGGACCTCCAACAGCCAGGGCAGCCAGGGCGGGATGTGCAGCGACTCGGAGAGTGCTGGGGGCAGCAGCGAATCCAGATCCATGGACTCCCCCACCGCTAGCCCAGGCATGAAGATTTCACATTTATTCCCTTCTAAATTTATTTAAAAATGTATAGATATAGGTATATATATATCTATATATTTGTTTTCTTTTCATTAGAAGCTATTAAAAATGCATCGAGAATGACACATTATTTTGTAGATGTAATTGCATAAATTAAGATGAACACTTGACGGAGAGACAATTTGTGCAGGATTGTATCTGCAAACTATCAGAAGAATTATATAATTTCAATATTTTAGACAGTGCTTCTCTTTTTAGTAACGTGTTGACTTTATGCAGAGGATAAATAAACACACGTTCACTCCAAATTCACTTCCTTTATCTGCTAAAATTTTATGACACACTACTTAAGTTTTTCTTTTTTTTAAAGCTTAATGTACTCATGTGACCATCACAGTTTCTCTTTTGTTGTTGCTGATGGTAGCTTCTTTTAATCTTAGTCAGTGGTAGTACATCGTAACCTTGTTTTTAATGACTGAACAGGTGATTTCAAACGGCGGCTGCCCAGAACTCCCTCCACTGGGACCATGTCTTCAGCTGACGATCTGGATGACAGGGAGCCTCTCTCTCCTTTTGACAACGGTAGGAAACATCTGTTTGTCCTCTTAAGTGTGTATTTCACTCGTTTGCTAATAACAGCCTGCATATTAGTTGACATGGGGAAATAAAAATGTCTTGAGGGGATTGCATAATCTTCTCTGGTGCATAGCAGATTGCCTCATTGCACTGATCGGATGTCAGTTTTGCTACATGTAATATTTTCACTCCCTATGTTTTTTTTCTGTCTGCAGAGGATAATTGATTGGGGTTACATTAGTTTTTGTGCTAGGTTTGAACATCAAATAAAGGGAAGAATATATGTACGGTTAGGTGACAGAAACAAAGCCCAGCAACTTCCCCAAAGTTAAGCTTCAGTTTTTTCCCCGGGAAGTTATGTTAGTTTTCTTATTGGGAAATGTTGAATAATATCACCTGTTTATGTGTTCGTTTTTTTTATTTTCACTTCTAGGTCTGGTAGAGATGGTGACAGAGACTTTAGGTTCTCCTGGTCCTTTCCGAAATACTCAGATGTCAAAAGCTGCTCAGACACATAAGCTAAGAAAACTACGAGCCCCATCCAAGTGCAGAGAGTGTGACAGCCTGGTTGTTTTTCATGGAGCCGAATGTGAAGAGGTACAAATCATATTACTTTCAACTAACCGTTAAAATGATGTCTTATTGTTGATACAGTTAAGCCGAAAATTATCCATAACACCAGTAGATTCAGGTGTAAAGTCATCTCATCATTTCTCCCAACATGTTTCTCCTGATTGGAAGTGTTGTTTTGATGGATTTGAATCAGTGGAAATAGCTAAGATTAAGGCAAACAGGCCTCTCAAACTCAAAGACACGGAGTTCAACAGCAAAGAGAAACAGACAAAATATCAGTGGAAACTATAGACACCAGTTAACTGGAGTGTCAGTCAGTTGTTTGATTGCTCCAAATCTATGTTTTAATAAACTGTAATTAAACAATTACATTGTTTCATAATGTTTTGAGAAATGTCTGTTTCATTTCCTTTCAAGAGCAAACTTTATAGTTGAATAAACATGATTTAAAATCAAAAATTTGGAATATTGGAATATTTTGGGCGTAACTCCACAGACGGAGCAGGACACAAGTGCTAATAAATTAAAGTATTAATATTGTGTCACCTAATTGTAATTTATGCATCTTTTTGCCAGTGTTCCTTGGCATGCCATAAGAAATGCTTGGAGACACTCCCTATCCAGTGTGGTCACAAAAAGCTGCAGGGCAGGCTGCAGCTGTTCGGTATCGACTTTGCCCAAGCAGCGAAGAACTGTCCGGATGGAATCCCCTTTATAATCAAAAAATGCACCACCGAGATCGAAAGCAGAGCCCTCAACATCAAGGTACTTTCATGGCCTTTGTGCGTTTTAATATTATCAGTTAACAATAATCTTTTAAACTGGTTTATGTATAACTATGAATCCCCCTGTTTGACCCCTGTAGGGCATTTATCGTGTGAATGGGGCCAAATCCAGAGTGGAGAAGCTCTGTCAGGCGTTTGAAAACGGGAAGGACTTGGTTGAACTGTCTGAACTGTCACCTCACGACATCAGCAACGTCCTCAAACTCTACCTAAGACAGGTTTTTATCAAATTCCTACTGAGTTTTTGAAATTAATGACTCATGTAGACGTCTGTAATTATGTTCAGTTAAATCTTCAGCTGCTGTACCAATCAGAAGTTCAGATACTGTCATGAGCATGAATGGCGTCATGATTTTGGGGTTTTATGATGCACGTGGGATGCATCATAAAACCATTTCTAGAGAGGAATGAATCTACAACTTTTATGGGGGGGGGGTTTAAGTCTGACTTTATTGTGAATTTCCTCTAATTCATGCTGGTCCCAAAATATACAGACATCCTCATTCGTACTTGGTAGGACGTACCACAGGAAGTTGCAGAGAAGCAGTTCCAACTGTGTAGATTTAGGGGGAATTTAAAGAAGTTTGACAGTCATTCTTTGCTCTGCATCAGTGGCACAACATCACACTCTCCCAGGTTTTTCGAAGGGCATTAAAAAGCATAAACCATGTCGCCACACATTTGTTTCGAGGTTGGTGTTAAACTTACTTCACCATGGATACTACTCAGTTGATATTTAGTTGTCTTTATAGATTTGGTTGAAGATGGACAGACTGTGATGTTCTAACGCGAAAGTTCTAAATATGCATTTGCATTTTAAATATGCTTTAACATTTCTCTCAACAAAAGTGGTACAATACCCTATCAGAGTTATGCAGTTTTAAATTAAAGTGGTTTTGAACAAACATTTCTGCCCTAAAATCAAATGCATCAACAGCCCCAAAATTAATGACATTCATCTCAATATTGATAGTTTCATTTGTTTTCATCGTTAAATCATTTTTTTTTTTAAAATCGGAAGCATAGAATTCATTGCAGTGTCATTTCCAACAGTTGCCAGAGCCACTGATCCAGTATCGGTTCTATAACAACCTTATTGGCTTGGCCAAAGAGTGTCAGCGAGCGATAGCAGAAGAAGCTGATAAACCTCCGAGTTCCCAGGCGGGAGAGAAAGGAGCACCAAGCGCCCAGATGAGCAGAGTCCTTTTGAAGATCAAAGATCTGCTGCGTCAGCTGCCCACAGCCAACTACAGGACTCTGCGTTACCTTGTCACGCATCTGAACAGGTACGATCTGGAACGAAGAGACAGTGCTTTGGTATGTCGCTCTGTTTGCAGTCACACTGACTCGCCAACTTCCTCATGACACACATGGGGAAACGGAGACTTCCCTAAAGCTTGGCAGGAACTGTTAGAAAACGACAGCATAAAACCTGTGGTTTATTCAGTATCACTGAACTGGCTTTCAAACATGCGCTGGCACCTGTGTGTCGTGTAGCACTATGTGATAAGCATGGCGGATTTTTGTATTCTTTCTTAATCAACGCATTTCCAAGCTTTATTCTTGGCTCCATTGTGTATAATATCCATTTCACCACTGCACTGCTGACACTCTTTAAAAAAACTTTTCTTTATTTTTTATTTTTTCATTATTAAACAAAGTGTTTTTGAAGTCCCAAAGAAAATAAACTGACTAATCAATCTCATTGTTCCCCTTTGCATCCCCAGAGTGAGTAAACAGGCCGACGAGAACAAGATGAATGCAAGTAACCTGGGGATTATCTTCGGACCCACTCTGGTAAAACCAAGACAGATCGACGCAGAGGTGTCTCTCTCCTCTCTGGTGGATTATCCATGCCAGGCTCTGATGGTGGAGATGATGGTGAGACACTTTCACATGATCTTTGATGCACCTACTCCATCTGGCTCCGAAATCACCACCAGCAGCAGCAGTGCACAAGCGTCTCCCAGACTGACCCCACAGGAGAAGGTGCGCCAGCTAAGCAGACACTCTACCTCGCTAACGGACATCAAGGAGGTGAGGAGGAGTTAGACGGTCACCCTGTTGGTGACTGAAAGATGTAAACAGTTCATGGGATGTAAAACAACATTGTTAAAACTTACAAAAATTAGCTAAGAAAAATGTTTAAAAAATAACTGATTTCATTTAAATCCTCTTTAAATGGCTCTAAAATTGACATGTTTGACGTAAACATAAACTGTAGTATACTACTTTCATTAAAAGAGGGGAACTTACCTCCATTCTGTCACCTGGCTGATAGAATGGAGGTAGTGAAATGGAAAATTCCAGCGATGAACAAAGAAAACCAGTGAGTTTAAATATTGAGGCAGTTATGGAAAATGTCAACCAGGTGACCTAATAAGGGGAGATGAAAAACAACTGTGGTAGAATGCAAGCAGGGAAACTGAGGGAACACGACTGAATAACACAGAGAAGGTAAACTTAAAAACAACACTGATCTAAGAGATTATTCCTTTCAGTAGCAGGCCAACCCTCCGTCATAACAGTTTAGATTCTACCTACATGTCAACAGGTTGTTTGACAGCTATACCAGATGACTAAGCACTGTTGATTGGCAGGATAGACTCATACAGGTGCTAATGTCTTTGCCTGAAGTCATTTTATAATTTCTAAACTTGCAGGATTTTATTTTTTTAAGTCCAAGTTTGGACTTTTCTGATATGTTTAGTTTGAATTTATGCTGTTGCAATAAAATGTAAATGTTTTTTTTTAAGGCTTTTTGCTTACCTTAGCTAGCAGATAATAATAAATGTGACTGCTGCTTGTCCTTCCTTGTTCCTGTTCTTCCATCTGGCTGTTTTTGAGTTGTATGTTGTAAAATTTAGATGGGTAAATGTGATGACATTGTAATCCTCTTTGTCAAATTTGTGCCTTCAGAGTGCCAAAATATACAAGAGATACTCCTCGGTAATCCCAACATCCCACATCCTGGGTGAGGTGCAGGAGGTCCAGGCTGGGAAAGACCAATCGGATTCTTCAGCCACAGAGAAGCTCAACGGGTTGCACACGTCGAGCGGACGCGAGGTCCAGAGATCAACCTTGGCGCTTAACCGCCCCAGCTCCTCGCTCCCCTACCACACAAACACCTTGCCAACGAAGGTCCAGCTGCGTAACCAGGTCGGTCGGCCCGTTTCTCGACCGATCAGCATGCCGCTGGAACGCCTGCCGACACCGGCACAGATTCTGGAGAGGAATAACCGGAACAAAACGGATGTGGTCGATGGAAGCTCCGCTCAGAGGGACACAGAAACGATTCAGGAGATCCCGGAGCCCGAGAGGGCTCGACAGAGTGGCTCATCCAGAATAAGCACCTATTACATTACACCGTTTATCGACACTCAGACGATGCAGAGAAGGACATGGGATAAGAAGTACAAGCACTATGACATGACATCCAGAACTGCCATGATAGTCGCCAATCTGCCGCCCACCAGCTCCGGGTTGCAGCCGGTGAAGGCCACGCTGCCCATCACGGTTGGTGCTGCTGCAACCGCGGCCTCTGTGGTTACGGCCACTAGCACCGTGAGCACCGTGTTCTCCAGCAGCCCCAGCATGCTGTCAGTTAAGTCTGTGTGGAGCTCCAAAAGAGAAAAAGATGCAGAGTCCTCTGCCAGCAGCTCGCCAAACGTTTCACTAACACTCAGGGCTCCACGGACTCTACAGCCCCCACCGGGAACCTTCTACATCCCCCCGGTTTCCAGTAGCAGCAGATCCAGGACACTTTCCAGCTGGACTACAACCACAGCCACCAGCACGTCGCTCACTTCTACCAACACTTCCCCAGCAGCCTCCCCTTCCACAACCCCAGTAAAAACACTTCACCAGACTCAGGACTCCACAGACAGCGCCATTGACCCCGGGGTCTCGGCCTCCCCCACTCTTTCTCCCCCCCAGTCTCCCTCTCCAAGCAGCCCTGATGACCTCAGCCCCACCGGGACCAAACCCATCTACCAAAGACTCCGACTGCTGCAGGAGAACGAACACAGGGAGGCTCATTTTGTCTGAAAAAAGAAAAAAAAAAAAAAGAACCAAAATTTATATTTGTAAATATTAATATGTCTGTGGTGAATGGGAGAACATGTAGGCAAGTAAAAATAAACCATGAAAGTGTTCAAAGTACTAATATATTCCTTTTTACGTGTTAAAGACAGAACCAACAGCAGTTGGTCAAAGGAAGCAAAACAAATACTTAGACTTTGGTGCCAACAATGTTTACTGTCTGCTATATTTTTTAAACAGTATATTTGCCAAAAAGAAGTTATTTCCTGTTAGCTGTAAGTCAGTCGGTTTCCTTGTTCAGTGTTAATCTGTTACATAAATGACACTTTACATGTCGCACTTCCAGGCTTAAATGCTGATGTCTCTTTAATTTTTTAAATTTAAATATGTACTGAATTTCACATTACAGGGAACAATTGGAATATTTTCAATGCAATTTTCTTAATATAATTGAAAATAATTCCCTTTTTTAACTGAATGTGTCCTGAGTGGCCTGTGATTGGTACATCTTCTCTCAGTATGTAAGCCTTACAGTACATATGTGTAAATGTTTATATATTCATGCAACAGTTCTTGCTGCAAATTAAAACAAAAGTTATTTTAAACTTATTTCTTGTTTTTTTTTTTTTTTGTTAAATGCATTTTTTTCAGTTAATTTTTTTATTATATCTTGACTTAAATATATATTTTTTGGGAAAAATAGAAAAATAAAATGACTACTAAGCAGAAAAAAGTACAGGAATGAAGTTTATTTGTACCTATAGCACATCAGGATAGTTTCTCAAACATTTACAGTAAGTTTTTATTCAAAACTCAAAGTTGTCCTGCGTCTGGCCCTGCAGTTAACAAATAACTGCTGGAGATCGGCACCGGACCTGTCATGACTCAAATGGATGCATTTAAATTTTCAACCTTTATTTTTATGTATTTACTTAAAAAAACAAAACAAAGACATGGGCTTCAACCAACCATTTTTTGACATTGATAAATATGGTGAGATTTCAGATATTTAGACCCTGAATGAAATGTGGAAACTTACTCACAGCTTTAAATTTTTCATTTCAGCCATGCATCCAGTTGGATTGTTTTTCCTTTTTCCTTCTGCATTTGATGGATTTCAAATTTGCTCCAACTCAAATCGATTGTGGTTTCAGGATGTTTTGCGTCTGCTGGGGGCTCAGCTGGCTTTAATGTCCTACTTTGAAACCTTCACATTCTCCTCAGCTAATTACTCATGTCACCTGCGCCTTCTCCACTCAGCCGCTCAGAGGAAACTAATTTCAGACACAAAAATTGAAACAAATGCTGCCGTCTCTTATGCCTTTGCTCCTGTGTCCTATAAATCCAAACTCCTAATTTATTCTGTAGGTGTTTAGCTGTGGGATTACACGCTGGTGCGGTTTCATTTCTGCTCAGGTTATTTTCTTTGACAAATGTATTTGCTGCTGCTGTGATGAAGACCACCTCCCGCTTTTCTCTCCGCCAGGTTTCCCTGCTTTTCCTTCTCCTGCAGGTATCTGCCTAATTCTACCTCAAAATGGATGACTGTTGTCTCTTTTCTGCCTGCCCATGTTGAGCCGGGAGATTAGAGCAATCAGATTAGGAGTGCTGCTGACCTGCAGCACAGAGAGAGAGAGAGAAAGAGAGACGGGGTGGGCAGCTCGGAGTCATCTGAAGCACTTCTTCTACCCGGCTTATTGTTTTGCATTACTTCAGCTTATTTGTGAACCCGTTTTTCTTGATGTTGCTCGACTTTGTTGTGATCCGGTGAGAAGGTAAGCCTGAGAATCAAACTGATGAATCTGAAACGCCTTACAAGACCCGACAGGTGTGTGAATGTGTGTGTGAGTGTGCGCTTGTTATTGCTGACATAGTTGAAGTAATGTATCGCTTGTTGTTTAAGTTACTTTGATAGGTTGCGACATGCTTGTGGGGTAATTTCTCCCTGAATTCTGCAGAGCTGTGTGCAAAGCAATCCTGTTGTGTGTAATTTGTGTTTTGAGTAAGAAGATGCTTTCTGAGAACTCAGACATAATAACAGCTTTTAGCCTCCCCTGTTTTCTAGCTGCAATTCCCCTTTTGTTTTTCTCTTCACAAGTGTTGGTCTGCCCGTATTCTCCATCTGGTATGTCCAGTAATCTACTGGACATGTTCTTGCGCTATGTGATGCTCCATCTGTGAATAACTTGTGCATAGTGATTGGTTTCTCCAAAATTTATTTTTTCCTTTCCGGGGGGGGGGGAACTCATGACGGATCAGGTTTAAATTGTAGTTGTCATTCAGGTGGCATGTGAATGCAGACATGAAGTCATCCTTAAATTTCCTCAGCAACTGTGTTTTGGAGTAACAGTTGGATGAAACAATGGCTCAGTAAGGGTTAGGAGCCGTTTCTTAGGAACACCTCCAAAGGCTTTACTTAAAGTGGTTTAAAGGTGTGAGTCAAGACAATTCCAGCGTTAACAGTGAGGCCTATTACAATCAAGTTGGATCGAAAGTTGGGTCACATCCAAAACAAGGTCAAGGCTGGCGTGAAACAATGACTGCATGACTTTATTGCTCTGAGAGAGTAAAGCTAACAAGCCCTTCGGTTAGTTCTGTGTAAGCTAATAAAGGAAATGCTCTTTTTCTGTTTCAAGATTTTTGTCTCTTTCTCGCTCGTAACTTTTATGTTTCCAATTAAAAAGCTTCATTAGCAGAAGGCGCATTACTTCACTGTGACGTGTTTTACTTTCTGCAGGTGCGTCCAAAAGTATTCATGCTTTAAAGGCTGAACTGTTCGTAAAATGTTCAGTTGAAGAGGGATGACGGGTGGTTATAGAGAAAATAAATTGATAACTGTTAGTGATCAGGACCACCACACACTGGAAATCTTTGGGCTTATCTCTCTTCTAATTTTACACATCCAGCTGCAATTTTTGCCGATACGTCTTTGCAAAACAGTTAAAATTTCATTCAGATTTGATTCAAAGAGTTTGTAAACATCAAGTTGATAGTTTTTTTCCCCCACATATTTTCTTTTATATTTACATCTGGACTTTGACTGGGCCATTCTAACAAACGATATATCAGTCCCTAATAGCTCTGTCTGCATGTTTAGGATTACATCTTTTTGCAGCCCCTTTCCCAGTTTTTCCCCCCCCCCCCTTTTTTTTTTTTTTACCTGCATCCACTTTGACCAGCTTCCCTTTGCAAGCTGAAAAAAGTATTCCCACAGCATGATGCTGTCACCACTATGGTGACAGCATCCAGGGCGGATAGACTCAAATGACCCACCATGCACTTACTTACATTACAGCCTGTACCATCACCCTCCAGTCAACATCAGAGGGAAGATGCAAGATAAAAGTCCCACAACTCACCAATCAGAAACAGAAATGTTAAAGTAACATTTCTGTCTCCAATGTACTGAAATTCAGATAGAATGAAGCCGAATCAGAATCGCATTCAAGGAGATATTGCAAAATTTAACATTTACTCAATTAAACAGTGGCAAAGATATATGGCCACAATCAGATGGAACATTTTGAACAAGAAAATAAACAAATTTGCACTACTTACGTTCTAGAGATGACCTCTTTGATCATCACCAGTTATTTCAGCTCCAGCAGCCACAGCAGGTACATCATGATTTTGGGTTTCTTGTACTCACTTTGGTTCACACACATAAATTTGAACTCATTAACAATCAGATGCTTCAGTTATTGTTCGTCCGGCATAATGTGAAATAAAAATGGGTGATGAGCTAATAAAAACTTATGATGAGCTAATTTCTTGAAACTTTTGTGCTCTCACTGATGCAAATATACAAAAAAGTAGTAGTACACTTTTTTTTTTTTTATTCAGTGCAATTTTTTAATCTTTTTATTTTGTGGAATCCTTTCATTATATTGTCAGCAAGTGCATTTATTAGTGAAAAATATGAAATCCCCCACTATATTTATTAAACACAGGTGATTATATTGGCGAGAATTTAATTACTTAACCTAATTGACCTGTTTTCTTCAATTCAGTTACTTTATAAATATAAAAAATAGAAATATATTTATATAAATACAAATAATATACTGTACAGCAGTTTAAACAGTAACGTACTTTAATCCTGAGGTATGTATTTTAGAATATTTTAAAAGCTTTTTACCATTTCACTTCATGCTCTATCACATAAAATTCTCACAAAAGACATTCAAGCTTAGCAGGTTTAAATACTTTTGCAAGACACTGTAAATAATCCCTCGTTAATCCCGTGCGTCATGTCACGGTGTGACCATTTCAGACCCCTTCTCACTGATAGCTGCTCCGCTCGCCGCTAACGTTTTGTCTCTGCAGATTCTTCACAGTCTGATGACCCCGTCCAGGGGTTGAGCCGCAGAGCGATGAAGACGGGCTCCCAAATCCGCCTGTTACTATGGAAGAACTGGACTCTTCGCAAAAGGCAGAAGGTATAAACCTTGTACATGGGTTTTTGAAAAAGCCCATGCACTGAAACATCCCAAACAGAATTCTTCATGACGCAGCATCGTTTAAGCTTCCAGGGTTGTGTTTTATGTTGTTTTAGTGCTTCCCAGTAATGGACTGTTTCTCTTTAGATCCGCTTCCTGGTGGAGATCTTCTGGCCCGTCTTGTTATTCATTGGTCTGGTGTGGCTGAGGAAGGCCAATCCTCTCTACCAGCAGCATGAATGTGAGAAGGAACTTCTTGCTGAAATTCATCACCAGCAGCTTTCTCTGCTAACTCACCCTCATCTATGAAAACATATTGATATCTGCTGCAGTTCTTTACATGGAAAGAATAACACAGGGCAGCCCATTTGGAGAGTCTTTAATAATCAGATCCTGAGCTTTGACATTCCCTCTGAATGTCTGTTTCTTTAGGTCACTTCCCCAACAAGGCCTTGCCATCGGCAGGGATTCTCCCCTGGATTCAGGGAATCTTCTGCAACGCTAACAACCCCTGCTTCAGATACCCAACACAGGGAGAGTCACCGGGCGTCATTTCCAACTATAACAACTCTGTGTAAGGTCAAAACAGCACTCTTAAATTCACTGTGAGCAAGCACTTATTTAAAGCTGTTTTGTTATTTTGGACAAACTTTAGACTGGCACGATTCTACGCTGACATCCAGGAGCTTCTGCTCAATGAGACAGAGGTCCGGCAGTATGGCAGGCTTTGGCGTGAGATGGCGTCCTTCTCAAACTTTATGGACACGTTGCGCAACAATCCGTACGCCGCTGCAGGTAAACAGAAAAACGAGGAATGCTTCAGTCAGGATAATGGCCAATGCTCTCCTGAAAATGATTGTTTATAACCAGGCCTAACGTTTTCCTGTGAATCATTTCCTTATCCAGTGTTGCTCTGGCCAATATTGTTCTGCGTGTGTCTGATCTTTCACTATCAATGTTAATGGTTTTCCTTTTAGGCCGTGGGCTGAAGATTGATGACATTCTGAAGGACGATGAGATCCTTACGGCCTTCCTGCTAAGAGACGCAGGCCTCTCAGAGTCTATTGTTTACCAGCTCGTCAATGCCCAGCTACGTCTGGAACAGGTAAAACTTTAACCTCTGTGTCAGGACGCTCTACGGAAAAACTTGAGATTTGGTTGGCAGGGGGT